GCCACCCACGTTGTTCCTCTTCTGCTGCCCACCTTTATCCGCCGATCCATCCTACCCATCCAAAGCAAAGTCGCTCGTAAATCGGGACTGTTTGGACTTTCGGATCCGGCCTCGATTCGATAATATCGTTTTGTTTGAAAACGCATTTACGTGACGTCGCAAAGATCGAATAGCATTTCAAACATTTTCTTTTGACTGTTCCACGATGAATATCTACAGAAAAGAAAAAAAAAAGATAGAAAAAAAATCTCAAGCTAATGAGAAAGATTTTTTATTAATGTTCCAAGGATATCACCTTATTCAAACACGTAATAAGAAATCAATAATATCTACTGTAGGTACTTCACAAGTTCAAACAAAGAGGAGAAGGTTTTCATAAGATAAAGCGAGCTTCTTTAAGCTTAAAAAATGAATTTTAAGGTTTGCCCTTTTGTACTGAAAGAACTTATATCGTATAATCGGTAACAAATGTACCTCTCTTCGCAATTATATGAAATCAGCAAGAATTTGTATGTAAGAGAAAACTTGAAATCGATACATCGAGGCACTGCCACCTTCATAATCAAGTTGAATCGTTTAATCTTGATAAAGAATCTCAGAGTCTATACTTTGAAATAGAGTACAACAGAATAAGGCTAAATGTAACAAGTTAATGTAAACAAAGAAACTTAGAAAAGAGATACCGATCGACTAGGAAAAAAAAAAGAGATTCAACGTCTGGTTTAGTCTAAAAAGAGAAACTAAGATGGGATGAGGGTGTGTGTGTGTGTGTGTGCATCTTTGGGGTGGCTTATCATTCTTATATCATTGGCCTCGGCAAAAAGCGCAAGATCGTGGCGACGCGTGCCACTTGGGCACGGTTTTATCGCGAGACACCAGCCAGGAGCCAGCCCACTCGACCCTATATCCAGACACTGCTTCTCGTCTTATTTTAGCCTTTTTTCGACATTAGGATCCTCGGAAAATCTTAGAGTTCCTCAAGAGCAAGTATATCTTCCAAGATACACGGCCACTTTAACGATTAGACAAGAGAGAACAGCCGATGGCGATTAAATGCGTTTCTGGAAGACATCTCTCGAAGCCTTCCAGAAGATGGTCAGAAGAAAAGATCTCTTTTGAAGGCATTTGTTGTTTTTTTTTTTTTGTCGAGGAAAATACTTCTCATTACTTTCGCGATCATCGCTGGACATAAAATGTGACATCGGTTAAGGAACGGGAGATAAAAAATAGATCGCATTATCTACCAACGGAGGGTTAAAAAAAAGATATACGAGCATACCGATGAAAATAATATGCCGAGGACGTGTCCAACCGCGAAACGACCTCACGCTTGACCACGGAACGAAGTACTTTTATGACAAACGATTTATTATACAAACGACGCGATCTATTCGTAAAAGATGCGTCATCTGGATCCACGCTTTCCAATAGATGTCTTTCGATCTTTCCTATATTCCTGTTACCTATCTCACGTTATTTTCTATGACTAACGTGAAACTAGTATACAAACGATTCCCCTTTGTGTGGATTAAAATACGAAATTTGTCAAATTTCAACTAATTCATGTTAATCATTTGCATCATCAAATACAACGAATTAAATAAATTCATGAATAAAAGATAATTCATTACTATCTAYCTATCCGAACTTATAAATATCTATTGTCATTTTTCAAGAAGTACAAAAACAAATTCATTTATAAATTTATTCCTTATTTATTCCATACATTTCAAAAAAAATACTTCTCTTCTATCCTACTTTCTTCAATTCCATTCCTCTCATACTGAATCTCCTTCCTCAGTGTAGAATTTTGTCGTTCGTTGTTTTCCATCAACAGAAACAGATCGTATTTAATGAAAAAGGAGAGAAATATTTTCCACATTAAAGCTCTATCTTACACTTTACGCACGAGTGCCTGTTCACACAACGAATTGGCACGCGATCCAACGAGATTCGCGTGTGTAAGAATAATTACACGCAGTTCGCATCTTCTAGCGAGTATTTGCACGTATACGATATCACATTTTGTATATATATATATATATATATATATATATGTTCGTTTATATATTTAAGCGACGCGTTAACAATGTATAATTCATAAGCGAGCGATCTCATCATCAAATTTAGAAATCTACTTTTATATCTGATTGTTAGTTAAAAAAAAAAAAAAAGAAAACAAGTAAATAAGGATAGGAGAAATATAAGAGAAATATAAGAGAAATAAAAAAAAAATAATAATAATAAAAAATTTGACCGCTAAAACGTTTAATCGAGATACTCTTCCTTCACGTCGATCTCATCATTTCTCGCGAGGTACAAAAGAGGCAAGAAAAAGTCGATGCTACGGAAACCAATGGAGTCATAAAATCAATCATAACGGAAAGGTTATAGCCGATTTTATCACGATAACTGTACGCCGCGCGAATATATATCCTCATCCAGTTAGAGCTCGAATTCTATATTAATTAGGCAACGCGACAAGGTGAAATTATGGTGGTACTGTAGTTCATTAAATCTTTAATAGTCGTTATAAAAACCGGTGTTGTAGGAGGACGCGTGCATGTACCTACCAACCATATGCCTCCTTTTTAATTATCACAAAAAAAAAAAAAAAACAACAAAAAATTCTTTCTTCAATAATTAAAGTAATACATTTTTTATAAAAAAGAAAAAAAAAATGAAGAAATTTAAACGATCGAATCTATCTCAGAGAGATAGATCTAAACTCTGCGGAATAGATATAACTACGGATGTAGAATTTCATCAGGGTGGCACGTAGAAAAAGGGACATCGCGACGGGTGACTAAAATCACCTCGGCCCATCGATCCCTATCTCTCTTTCTCTTTCTTTCTTTCTTTCTCTCTCTCTCTCTCTCTTCCTCACTTGAAAATCCTATTCGAGAAGAATGAGAAGAGAATGGGGGGACACCCCCTCGGCAACCCCCCTCGGCAACTACGGCACGGATCTCGCGCCATTACTCAGAGATATCGTGCTGCTGTTTCTACCGATAGGAAAGTCGGCATAAAGCAACCGAGAAGACGGAACCTGGCCGCCCATCGAGCTCACTTCGAATACCCGCGTAAAAATGACTTGTGTCAACGTGCCTTTACGGACCCCCTACCGCTCCCATCGCCGTCACCTGGCTACTTGTGGGTCTTGTTTTACTATGACTAGAGAAAAAGATATAATAAAAGAAAAAAAGAGAGAGAGAGAAAGAAAGAAATCTAGGGCGCACGGTAAAAAGGGCCCATATACGTTGTCATCGATCTTAGAATTTATTTATTAAAGTTAGTTTATATAGATAAATAATTTGAAAAGAGCATCTCTTGTTTTGAATTTGATAGTACTACGATTCTTGCATGTAATTCCAAGGTAAAAGAACCGACTTTAATAACTCCGTAAATAATCGGACGTTTCCCCTTCTTCTATTTCTGTTAGGGGCGCACACACGCGGTCATCGATTCGAAAATGATTAGTGATAATGTCAAGGGAGTAGAGGAGGCACGTTCACGATGCGTCCGTGCTCCTCGCAGTCCGTCCGTGACTCCTCTCGTCCGATACGCGATTCCACCTAATTGAAATAACCACAGAGTAGGGTGCCGAGAGAGAAAGAAAATAAGACTCACAATCGGTAAGGTGGACGATGATCTCGGAGAACGATCGTGGGCGATCCACGTCCGGCGATATCCCATCGAGATCGTCAAATGGATGCCTCCCGTCTTTCTACGTTTTCTCGGCAGCCTGCATTTCCGCTCGCACGTGCCGGTTCGTCGAGGGGATTACAAACCCTCCAAGTCCGAACCTCTCCAATGACTCCTTCTCCTCCTTCTCCTTTGACCATTCCAAAGAGAACGAGAGAAACAAGAGAGGTACGATCATACCAATGAAAGACCGAGAATCAAATCACTATCGTCCATACCCATCATTTGCCACTGCTCCTACCTTCGCAATCTTACTTTTTTCCATCTTACATATGTTATTTTCCAACCGAAACTTACCTTTCCGGCAAAGATGAAACATTACTACTCTTGTATTCGAGTTATCACTTATAAGCTTTAAGCTACAGAAAATGATTAATTACAAAAATGTTAAGCTAACGTTAAGCCCTTAGCCGTAACATTAAGTCACGGAATACTTTTGATTGTAAAGAAAATTTTCTAAAGACTAAATTCATTAATTGTAAGATCATAAAACTAACAACAAAAATTGAATCTTGTTTGTGTTTGAAACAGAAGCATAGTGTCACATTTATAATTGGCGACTGGACCATCGATCGATGCTTTTCGTTTTCATAATTTCGCGAAATATTTTGTAGCAAATTGGCGGAACACTGATTAAGAACCACTGAGTCAGGGGGAGGAAGGAAGGGAACAAAAAAGAGAGAAAGAGAGAGAGAGAGAGGAAAAGAGGGAAAAACGTATAGGGTAGTTTGAAGCTGATAGTAGATTTAATTGTAATGACCCGAGATATACTGAACGCGATCCGTACGATAAAAAAGGAATAAATCCTCGTAGGATTCCCACGTGAATCGTGACCGTAAACGTACGCTTTTACGGTCCACAGTCGATACGTCGCTCCATCATAGATATATCTACCTATTGGCTTCCGGAGTAATCCTGAAGGACCTTCCCAAACGAAAAAGAATAATAGACTATCCTATGATAAAATACAGATACCTACGATACCTGCTTTCTAAACTAATTCGCAAAATCTCTAATCTTTCGACGAACTTATCTCTATCCTCCTAATAATCTAAAAACATATTCTTCAATGAAGGCTCATTTTGAAATGGCCACAGCACACCACCCTTAGCTTCATTAATTTATATTTCAACATATTACAAGATTATTTGTTTTGGAAGTATTATTTCAATATTAACTGTATATTTGCAACCTTCATCAATTGCAGGATAATAGTAAATAAAAGTTCATGTTACATGGTATAAATATATTTATGCGAATAGTTTTTTTTTTCTTTTCTTTTCTTTTCTTTTTTCTTTTAATACGAATGTGTACATATTTCGACACAGTATACAGTGCTAATAATAAATGCAATTATTTCCAACTGTTAGTTCATAGTGTAAAAGTTGTTAAAAGATTTTTCACGTAATACTTGTTTTAAAAATTAATAACTTAATGTGTGTTTATTCGTGACTTACCATACGATTTTAATAAGATAGCCGATATTCCTTCGAATAGGAATGATTAACATACCTCGCCTTTTAATGATAACCGATCATCGTATATATACCCATCGTTTAGAATTATGTCATTCTTTATCTATCCATTGCGTTAATGTACGCAGTACGTAAAGTTTAAAAAAAATGATGAAAAACAATGAAAAATGATGGAAAAAGATGTAAGTATGATTTATAGTCAAAAATGTACACATTTCACTAATATCTTAGACATGTGTACGATTCATATATATATATATCTGATTGATAAAGTATCATTAATCTTATAATGTAAGAGTGCTGTCAATTTTCTGTCCTCGCTTATTTATATGATAACACATAACAATACTCTTCAATATACTAAAAAATACGTTTGCATCGCTCAAATGCAATTAAATTGTCCGAGAGTTGGAGAAGGTTTGGCGACCGAATTTAGCTGCCATACGCGAATCGTCTAGAACAATTTTTTTTGGATGTTATCGTTTGTTTGCATATTTTGTTTTTGTTTTTTTTTTTTTTTAATACGTGACATATATATAATATATATATTTTAATGACGTACTTATATACAAGAGAATCGAAGCGTCTCTTAGTATCTCCTTTCTCCTTTTAATGTTATAGCATAAGCTAATTCTTTAAACTATCTGACATTAGTCCAATTAATCGATGCTGCGATTCCCTTATGCTATGCCAATAGATATCTTACAAACTCTTTATAAAACTTTAAATACCGTCGTTAATCTTTAATAAAACAAACTATTGAGTTTCAACATGTTGTCGAATGAGTAATACCATATGAATGGTTTTTATAATAAATTGAAAAAGTTATGATTTTGTATAATACTTTGCACTTTTAACCAATACTTTAGCTTGATAGCACCAATTCATTAATCGTAAAGATAAAACAAACAAAAATAGTATATAATATCTTTGAATAATTTGTATGAAACTTTTCTTTTCCAAAAATTGAGAATATTCAAATATGTAGATATATTATTTTGTTGTTTCCAAATTAAAAGCAAAAAAGAAAAGAAAATATATTCCTTTGGGCTATGCATATCAATCAGGATTATTTGATCTTGTCAAAATTAATGCTATTATTAACCTTATTTAAGAAATGTTTAAAAAAAAAAAAGAATTTTTTTTAAATTAAAATAATAATAAGGCCAAGAGATATAAGAATTTGGTATGGAATGTATACACAGATAAAAATAAATCAAATACAGGAAACGCATAGGCAAACCGCAGTTGTTGCGCTGATATAAGCGGCTTCTAATACGTCCCTTCAATGAATACTTCTTTTTTTATATCTTAACATTCGTACAGACGTAATTTCCTCCTATCGTTAATCTACTATGGAGGAGATAATCACCTGATACATTTTAATGTTGTTACTTCGTAGTCAGGGACAATGTATTGCAAAATCAGTAAAATGCTTTACAAAAGCATACACCTTCTTTTCTTCACCGGTTCTGGAGGCTCTAATGCCGCCAATATAGCTTCGTCGAATACATTTTTTAAACCTTTCTAAAATGAACATTTAAAAAGATCAATAGAAGATACTAAATAGAAAAACTGAAATAATTTAAATTCAACTTATTTGCAAAAATAATATATACCTGTGTCAGAGCACTACATTCTACATATTTCACAGCTTTCAGCTCTTTTGCAAGTTTCTCTCCTTGTTCCGCTGAAATTGGTTTCTGCTTATTTTTTGCAAGTTTCTCTATAGTAGCAACGTCATCTCGTAAATCAATTTGAGTACCAACTAAGAGAAATGGAGTCCTCTGACAATGATGAGTTATTTCTGGAACCCACTAAAACGATCATTGAAATGAAATATTTTAAATATCATATGTGTTATTCAATACGCAACTACAAATGTTACAGCAGTTACCTTTTCTTTAACATTTTCAAAAGACGATGGTGAAACAACTGAGAAACAGACAAGAAATACATCTGTTTGCGGATAACTTAAAGGTCTTAGTCTATCATAATCTTCCTGACCTGTGATATAATTATAATGCAACGTATATTTAATCTATGCAAGTAATTTACTTGTAAGATTTAACTAATAATGCTATTCTCATTGCCCTTACCAGCGGTATCAAATAATCCTAACGTATATGGATCACCACCTATCATTACCGTTACAGCATAGTTGTCAAAAACAGTAGGCACATATTCCGAAGGAAACTTATTAGTTGTATATGAAATCAAAAGACATGTTTTTCCCACAGCTCCGTCTCCGACCACAACACACTTTATTGTTTGCATCTTACTCACTGCTCTCTATTTCCTAAAACATTGACAGATCAAATTTTAGTACAACAAAGGTACAAGTAAAAACTATTTTAATGATTATTTACATAAATTTATAAAAAAAAAATCTAACGTTACATCAATCTAATTATTGTATCAATAATCATTGCACATATATTATTCTATGATTCTTAATAAAATACAAAAATTGAAAATGTTCAAAATTCCAGCAACGAGCTCTCATAACCTAAATTCGACATACATATGTGTCGTGTCAGAATAATGAAGATTTTTTTGAAGAATTATCACCAATTTCAAAACAATACGAATAGAATTAGGTATACCAATCATCATCTGTTGTTAAACTAACAAAACTATCATTATTATGACTGCAATTTAAAATGTATAGATAGAAATGTATAATGAATGACTTACTTAGTATCGTACTATCGCCATTAAAGATTAAAACCACGAATAAGCTTTGAATATACGTAAAGTAAACTAATAAATGGTAAGTGCATTTAATACGACAGTTCTATTTTCTATTTTTTTTTTTTAATTCCTTCCACTTATCATCACAGTCTCAGCACTTGTAACTTTTAGGAGTTCACTGTTTCAGAAGTAAAATTTGTACAGGCCTGAAAACTCGCAATTTTCCTTTGGACCATAACGCGCGGGTAATATTTGAAATTCTTTGAATCTTCTATCTATGTAATTTGGACAGAAAAACTTTATTAATTATATATTAATATATTTATTTTCATCTACTTTTTAAAACACAATCTAAAGTATTTTTTTTTTTTACAATTTTTATCTTTTCCAAGATACTTAGAACTGATTTTTAATCGAATAACGATTATATGTGAACATAACCAAAATAACCTTTTAAATTCTGTAGATGGCAACACTGTTACGAAACTTGACTGTAACAAAACTACTAAAAAAAAGAAACATGGTTAGAATATAATGAAATGTAACTGAATTCTTTTTATGTTTCTTAAATATGTCATAATAAATCTTTAAAGGGTTTTTAGCATCTTACTATTACATGACACTATGGATATAAATGATAAATGCGCAATAAAGGGAACAGTACAACCTCTCACTCCTAGTAAGACGTTTGATTCTTTTATATAAAAACTATTTACAAAATATCATTTCTATTCGTATATAACTTAACATTTATAGTTTATTGTATTGTAAACAATTATTTCTTAATAAACTAATGTTATTATTTGTAACAGTATCATCATTTTCAAAATCGTTAAGAGGAAAGAATTTAACTGGAACTGTTCGTCATTTGCGAGATTTAGCAGCTAATGTTCATGGGATTATTCAACAATGGAATAATAATACTCTTGAAGGAGTGAACATCTTAAAAGCTATAATACAAGAAAAATCCAATGGAAATTATACCATTCAATTACAAGATTACTGTGATAATCTTGAGGAACTTTGCCATACCTTGGTATAATTTAATTAAATTATATTAGATCTATTGGAAAGTTCTGTCCCATTTTTAGAATAATACAAAAGTCATAAATTTTCATATTTTCTTATCACTTCAATTGACAATTTTTCAATTTTTTAACAAAATGTTTTATCCCTAAAGACGAAAAATTGAACCGGTATTTTGTCAAAATAGACAGAACTTGTTGGTAGACATATATTCATATATAATAATAATTATCACATTTATTTCATATGTTATAGGATAATTCAGTAAAAAATTTGGAACAAATAGTACATCAGATAAATGCTCTAATAACATTGGATAAAACTACAACGAAATTATTTACAACTTGGCCAATATCTGAATTTGGTATAAGCATAACTTTTAAATACGTAGGGTTGGAACTTAAATAGTGCCAACTATTTATTCACAACTGATACAAAAGAGTTACATGCTTGCACTTGTTACTATCCTTTAAAGTAGTCACCAACATTGTGTAGAACCCATTGCCCGATTTGAAAGACGTAGTATACCGTCAACAGAGTCTGTTCTCTGTTGATGGTGCGAATCGAGTGGTCTACTGCCTGTCGGATCTCTGGAACAGTTCTGAAACGAATACCACGATGGGATCCGCATAAATTGATGGAAATGCAGAAATGGATGGAAGGAGAGGTTTTCTTACGCCGTATCGTAACACTGGATGAGACATGGCAGTAGACCCCACTCCATTCGCACCATCAACAGAGAACAGGCTCTGCTAACAGTATACTACACCTTCCACATTGCTGACAAAGGGTTCTACACAATCCTGGTGATTACTTTGAGGGACAGTAACAAGCGCAAACACATGTAACTCTTTTGTATCAGTTGTGAATAAATAATTGCTACTATTTAAGTTTCAAACCTACGTACTTATTGTTGATGTACATTATTAATTAGAATGAAATAATATCTTATAGGTCGTACAGTGGAAATGATACATACTAATTATAGCAATGAAATGCGAATGAAATATGAAGTTTTGGAAAATATTGCTCATTGTCGTACAGAATCACAAAAAATGTTATACCTCTCCACGTGGATATATCAACCTTTGTTATCAAAAAATGTAACAATATTATTAGAAGCAATGCTCACAGAAACTGGACATAGATAACTACAGTAAGTATGTTAGATATATATATATATGTAATGCATGATTTCCGATTTTGATTGATTTGTTTTGTTTTTTTTGCTTTAAAAAAGGGTTATATAATAACAATATACAGTGTTAATAAGAAAAAAAAAAGTCCTCTTTTATTTTTTTTTTTCCACTCGTTTACTTTTCTTTCTTTTTTTGCTTTTTTTTGTTTATATACATATATATACAGATATCTTTGCATAAATTTCGTAACATAATTGAGAATATGTTATTTATGTATATATATATATAAGTAGTTCCTGAGATCATAACAAATAGATATAAGTAAAAATATAAATTAATGGATGTGTTGCTAAATCTTTGCTAATGCGCTTGAACAAAGTGAATCATTACTTCACATCTTTATTTTGAAAATATTATAAATAAAATGATAATTATCTGTTGAAATATCACTGAAAAAATACTGATCTATATGTTTCCATTTTATCCAAAAGATAATTAACAAATCAAACATAATAATTTTATGTGTGTGTATATATATATATATAGATATATATAACTTTTCAAATATAGATGTTTAACAATGAAACACTTTTATATATGTATATGAGGAAGAAGTATAAATCTTATACATAATTATTTAAGCATTGTCTTATGTCATAGCACTAGTTAGAATAACAGTCATACACATAATTACATATACATCTCACGACTTATTGTTAATATTTTACTTCGTATAATATAAAAAAAAACAATGTAGAATACATATTTACAGATAAATACATATGGAAAATATTATTTTATGCAGTCAGCAATAAGAAAAGAAAAAACGAATTTCTCCTTTGCTTGAATGTTACAATTTGTTTGAAAAGTTTCTTATTTTATTGTTATTCTACTTCTTCTTCTTCTTCTTCTTATTATTATTCTATTTCGATATTTATAGATAATTTTAGTTGAAAAATCAAACTTCCTCATTTCTATAATTGGAAAAATTTATGGCAAAGAATATCATGAAAAAAAGAAAAAAAAAAAAAAAAATTCTAAAAATAGATCAAAACGACATAAAAATATTACAATAATTAATATTACATTAAAATAAAAAGTAAATTGTGTCTAT